AACTTTTACAAGTAATGGTAATTGACGGACGACCGAACCTTTGCCCAATATCTTGACCCATGGTGCCACTCGATTGCTACAATGTAAGCAAGCTGTTCTAACCCCAGAGTTTTCAAACCCTTCGCCTATGTATCATTCGTGCCCTCGGTTATCACCTTCAAACAAGAGCCTTCCAAGCGCCAACAGTTGACCTCCGCGTCAGGAACAAAGGAGCTATGCGCGGGCGGTGGTGCGGCGGCAGCACATGAGACGGCGAGTCTGGTAGGAGTTTCAGCGACTCTACGTCAACAATTCAAGCTTGTGCTTCTTGGCCCGTGCATGGTTTGTTAGGATCGTTTCGTACGTCACTCACGCGGTACCTACTGTCGTGACAGACGATGTTTGGTGATTGCGTGGTAAAAGCGTGTTTGTTTCGTGGTACGGTAGATACTGGAGGGTTTTGCTGCATAGCAACTTACCAGTAGTACACAGCTGGTATCGAGGGTAGTATCGAGCACCGGTGAAACTATTATCCGCTTCCATAAACACACCGATTCTGAGAGGAAATCAGCCACGCTTGCAACCCTAGCGAGGCAGCACCATTGTACGCGTGTTGGTCCCGACGGTCTGTACATCCGCTGTTGCAGGTTTGGTTTTGAATCTATCTGAGAAACGGCAAGGGGAAGGCATGCACCGTTTTGTGTATCGCTTGTTTCACTTTTGTAGCGGACAATCCGCCACTAACCACAGCCGCTCACTTCGACGAGGCTATTGAATGCTGGATGCCAGCATCACGGGGTTGAAGAATCCCCGTTTCAGATAAGAACCGACTCGAAACACCGAATCCACTTCGCGTCTCGCTGCGGGAAGCCCAGGTAGTAGTTCGTTTTGATTTGACCCGGTGGTGTTGCTGGTGGTGCGAACGGAACGCGGTAGTCTATGGTTCGAGTGGAATTGAATGACGGAAGCAGAACTCCCATCATTCAAACTCAGGAAGACGCAATGTCCAAGCGGTCAGATATTACATAGTATTAGGCGTGTGCGTCTGGAGCCTTCTGTCTGAACCTAATAGTCACCGTCTTGTGGAGGAAACCGCGCTTGAACCGCGGACCGCCAAACAGAACCAAAACAGCTCAACACGAGGGCAGGCTGCCAGTCGGGGTGTTTCTCGGCGGCGATATCCCGTGGATCAAAGCTTGTTGAATGAGCATCAAGATGTCTCCCGTGAGCTTGGACAGCAGTGCGGAACGTGGACTCCACCAAGACCAAGCACTGAACATAATACCGTAGGCTCATTCTATCATTCTATCCCCCGGCGAAAGCACAGCGTGTAATGGACCGAGTTTCAACAAGGGAAGAATGGCAGGGGCATTCATGTTGTTGTCGGGTGTTGATGTGGCTTTCGGTGCTGCGTCGTGATACGCGCTACTTGCTTGCTGAGACCAACAGAACAATATCGGCTGAAGACTGGAAAGGGGTTTCTGTTCGATCGTGTTCTGGACCGTACGTTTCTGCAGTTGACGCGTGCGACCACCAGACACAATGGACCAGGACAGTGCTGCGCGGAGGATGGCTGTACAAGGCAACCGAGATTTGGTATAGCCGGCATCAACAAGGCGGACTTCTGCTCGAAGCACAAGGTGGACGTCGTCCGCAAGAGGGTCGGCCGCATGTACCAATTCGCCGTCATTTGATAAAGCCGGCAGCAAGAGGGCGGAGCTCTGTCATCTCGGCACGCCAACGCAAGTTTGATAAAAGAATACCCCGCGCAAGATGGGCTGCAGGAGGTCGCGAAGCAGCTGAGCGCTGCCACTCAGGTGGTGGCGCGAGCGAAGCAGCACCGAGCGCGGACGGAACAGGAGTACAAGGTAGGACAGGCTTCTTTGTGTTGAGGTGCGAGGTGGCTGGCTGGCGGACGAAGAGTCACGGGAGGTGTGATGTACGTGTGCGCGGAGGGATTTTTTTTTGCGTGCGGGCTTTGCGTCGTACAAACATATGTTGTTATCGTTGTGGGTTTCCTTGTACCTATGAGGCGCCGTGATTGCTTAGTGTGTTTCGGCCACTCAACAGCTTTTCTCAATCAAGGAAGCCGCAGTAGCTCACAGGTGTCTTCCAAGAAATCACCCACTGGACACGCAATTTCTGACAACGGGTTCAATGCTGTCATTTCTGTGACGATCGGGATCTGCGCTGGGGGACATGACCGGATGGACGCATTCGATTAAACTTGACGAAAACGAACAGCTCACGAAGAAAAGGTCAAAAGGTCCAAAGTGCGTACAAGGAGAAGAAAACGAAGGCTAGGGAGAGGAGACGTATACTCGCCAGCAAGCCGCGCCAAGTCTAGGATAAGCAAGTGCGTCAAAACGCGACCCTACATGCCGTGTGTAGGTGTCCAAATGCACTGTCGAATATACAAGTCCTCCAGACGCGGCGCCTATAGACCAGCACGTTCTCATTCCTGATGAGATTGTTGTGATAGGCGGAGGTGATTGCGTATTAGGTAGGTCTTGAGGGAATTATCAGCTCTTAGTGTTACAAGTTGCATGCGGAGGGATGATGCCACAGCCGCGCTTTACAATATCGTCGTGCCATTGGCCGTTGAACTTGAGGACGAAGAGGCTCGATCTAGTAGGTTGTATTGTTTTATTTCGAGATTGCGTCTCACTAATTTTTTTTTACCCCTAGGAAAGAGAAAGACAGCAACCTGGCAGAGAGAACATTTCCGCAGACACCTTACTGTGCTCTTTTTATCGCGTCTATGCCTCTCTCCCCATAACTGATTTCTCTCGTCTCCGAACCGCAACCGAAAACCTCTTGCCTCCGATGAAGGAACTAATTTCACGTCTCGAACTGCATGTAGTCGCCTCGAACGACCAAGTCCCGTACCTTTTTCTTCGCCAACTTGCAGGTCATCGTGAAACTACCCATGCAATGATATTAGTCTCTGTTAATGACTCCCTTATTTCGTGGGGTGCGCAACACCACTCGCGAGTCCTCTACGTTGCGTACGTACTGTGTATGGCTTGTACGGCTCAGGTGTTCGAACTTAAACCTTCCTGCCCTCCGGGACACTCGTCCCAATTTGTTGCCCCCAACCGCCATACAAAGTGCAGGCTCCCCTTCCGCATGGCCAAGTTTATCATTTTAGATATTTTGAGGCTCAAGTTATTAGTTAACTGCCACTTCTGCCTATTGTGGTGGCGCGTTCTGTACGGCAACACGTGCAAGATTAGAGCCTCCGCCCCCGCACCTGGCTCACGGTTTTGTTCAAGAACCACTCTCTGCTCCGCCTTTTTTTTTTGTCTTCACTTCAAATCAGCGCTCACAGCACTGGTAGTGCCGTTTACTCCAACCCGTGGTCACACAGAAGGATCCCTCTCTTCCCTCCCCTCCTGCAGTACGTTGGTTACGATTGCTAATGCGAGAAGAGTTCATCACTCCCTTCCCTCTGTGTACACACGAACTAACGCTATTCACTGGGTAGGCCAGGAGTGGGAGCGAAAAACTCGCTTTGCAAGAAAAGCTCGCTTACGCCGGGATTCGAACCCCTGATCTGACCTCTAGAAGGTGTCGGAATTATCAGCTAGACCACCGGGGCAACCGGCACTTCGCCTTGTGCATTCTTGCAATACGGGTATGGTTTAGTTTGCAGCAAAAAGCCTAAAGAGCGTGGTTTGGAATTGGTAGAGTACGGGCCCGGAGATAAGAAACGTCAAATTCGGGTCGAGCCTCAATCCCTTACATGGGGTCAAAGGACCAGCCGAACGAAGGTGTCCGTTTTCTTGAAAGACATATCTTATTCCTTTGGAACGTCGCACCCTCCCAATCCTCTTACTTCTGACTTCGTATATTTTCTTACTTGGCCAAAGAATACAACACAACAATTGGTCATCGTGCTGTTTAACCAGAATGAAAGCTCGATGTGACCATTGGTGTGGCGAAAAAACACTCTCTACCCCCTACCAAAGCAATGCACTGTTCAGCTAGGTAGGGGGGTGGCAACACGGAAGGAGCAGCAGTGGGACGTTCTTGTTGGGCACGCTCCTCCAGCTACCCCATGGTTCTTATGTCTCGGGGTATCGCACCATCATGTTTCTTGTTGACGTTCCTTGTGCTGTGGCCGAGATTGAGCTGTGTTTCTTAGCCTTTTTTCTTGATTTTCGTAAATATTGAGCCTTTTTTCTTCACAGAATTTTTCTTAACAGCGGGCCCAAGCTGTATGTGTAGTCTACATACGGAAGCATCGTCGGAACGTTAGCTTGCAGCACAGCAGTCTTTTGTATCAATCTATTTTTGCATATCGAGTGATTCCTCCTCCTGTTGTTGTAGCCACTGCGTTTAACGGTTGTTGTGGTACATCGATAGTATCCGACAGTAATATGCAGACGACTGGATGAAGGTTTATTCCCTGTTCAAGGTCAATTGTCCGCGATGTGATGGGAGAGATAAAGCGAACGGCGAACAACGCGAGGCGAGAAAACAGATGTCATAAATAAAGAGGAAACTGCGACGCATTTCTCTCGCGTGGTTTGAAAACTTCATCAATCAGAAGACAGCCTAGACTAAAGAGGACAGCAAATTTTGTAACCTGTTCAGGTGGTCTTCGTCTTTAGATAACGGAAAACCGTTTCTTTGTGTCGGAGAGCGTGGAGGAGGGGGTAGATGAACTGGATAGAGATACGGGCACGTTTTTTGTTATGAATACGATACAGGAACAATGTCAGTAGCAACGTCAACGCCGCAGCGGCAACAGCAATTGATGGCGACCTCGCGTCTCGGTCGGGAGACCCAAGTGCTGAAAGCAACAGTTGTAGCATGGACACCCCTGCCTGCTTCTTCTTCTCTCTTCGTTGCCATCGCGTTGTAAACAAGGTGTTTGGACACTTTGTGTTCACGATCGATCAATCAACACCACGTGTGTTGGTTCAAACGGGTCCGCTTGCCAACCTCCTCTTCACACAAGGACACCCACCGACCTCACCTTAGCCCTAGCCACAAGCAAGCGCACGCAGCCGTTAGGGAGACGTGTGGCGGGTTTAGAAAGACGGGCCATCGAACGAACACGACCGGGTTCGTTGTGTATGTGGTCTGAGTATAGATGGACCTGATACCCGAAACTCAGACGAGACTACGTTACCAAGACACGGCAGACAAGAAAATCATCACGCCTTGGAGACACCTGGTACCCGTCGCGCGCCTTGGTGCTTGTCGACTGCGGCCATTGGGCCATAACTCCTTCCGCATCTTCTCCTTTGGTCAACTATGTTGAAACTAATCCCTTGCGTCGGTCCCACGGTATTGTCGATAATTTTGTACGGCGGAGCATAAAGAGCACCAATTTTGGTGCCATTGAGGGCCTACATTAAACAAGACGCAACAGAGTGTGGTCGTCTTGGCAACAAGTCCCTACCAGGCTTCTTCCTGTGGCCCTCATGAATCTTGCCTGTCCCCCCCCCCCGATACTCGGCAGGTCAACCCGACCACAACAACACCCCAACAAAGGATGACACCAAACGCTTCCTTACGAAATGACCATATATTTTAGCGGATAGAGTCGACGAAGAAAGTCGGAAGAAACACCAACGTTGGGTTGTGACTCTTGACACAAGGAACAAATCAAAAAGAGCATTCATCGATCCTCGTGGCTTGCAGGATTCTCTTGTCTCCGCATTGTTGCCAATTATTATTGTGATGACGGCGTCTGCGGATCTACCATAGCACTTTCGTATAGAAACGGCGGATCAAAACAAGAGCCATCAAGAGAAAACTTAATAATGAAAACACCGACTGCAAGTATCAAGCCTCTTCCGCTCTGCTGCCGTCCATTCAAGGGTTGTTACACCGACAACCTAACAAGCGGCCCCAACATACGCCGGGTTTTGTCCAGTGCTTGCTACAGATTCGCGAATATGTCGAAAGCACATAAAGGCGGCCCAGTAAGATCGGCATTCGAGGAAATCGAGACACACGCGAAAACCACGTTAGTTTCTTCATGTCTGTCCCATCAACCGATATTGCGAACCACTGACCAAACCACGCTGTTTAGGCCCAAAGTATCAGATCATGCTACTTGCTGCTGCCCGACCATATACAACACAGTAGTGGATAGAGACGGCCGAGCAAACATGTAATCGAGGCGACGCATGAGCACCTAAACAGCATCTACCTCCCCAATCCTCGCTCAGCTTGTCGACTCTTTCTTTGTCTATACCCACAAACATCCACACCAGTGAAACAACAAACAGCAAAAAACATGCAGATGCCGTGTGAACAATACACACCACAGGCGTCGTCGAGCGTTTCTGTCGCGCAACTTCACTGCTATTCACTTATATATGGTGAAAAAATACCCACGCAGTAGAACATCTCCATCATCTTTGGTCTGAAAAACTATCGGGCAACGTGGCCCGTCTAAGCCCCCGCCAGCAACACCAACATATTCGACGAAATATGCCAAACGTGCTCCCGTGACTCCAAGAGATATATACACATATTCATGATGGACCTTACGCCACCGCTCGCCCCTTCCTTCGCCACACACTCGCATCACCTTACAACAGCGTCGTCGTGGACAAAAGGACCGAGCCGATAATTTACAGAGCAGTCCTCTTGTTTTCGAAACGCCGTCCTCTATGTAACTCGCGTAGACCTACGCAGCTATGAACCATCGGAACCATCACATCCGCATTGAGTGCAGTACAGTAAAGGTCCATGTTTAGTGCCGGGGTGTGCGCCGAAATTCCACCCGCGCCTAACCGGGCACCGGCACTATTCCAAGTACAGAACGACTTGGTATTTTAAGGTGTGCGAGCCGAAAACACCGGCACTGTACCGGCAACCGGCACTATTCAATCGGCACTAAACAGGGACCTCTACTATACCTCAAGCGCCGTACTTCTGTACCATTTCGCGACCCCGCAACGAGTCGGTGGGGCGCGCGGTTACCTGCAGGGTCCTGTTGAGGCCACTCACGCTTTCACCCTCCTCCTTGATCGTTCCGCACTTCTCCCGACGAGAATCCTCGACTGAACTCTTCAGGTTGATTGTGTCAGCGTTTTCCATGTTTTTGTCATCGTCTTTGTTGTTGTTTTGAATCGTTTCAACCTTGTCCATGTTGCTGCTGCTCTTGTCGTTGTCGTGGCTGTTGATTCCTTGTTGAACATCGTCAGAGCCGTCGAACGAGCCGAAGTCTTGGTTGAAGGTGGACGACATGCCCTTCACTCCGACTTCGTAGTCGTCCACAGTCCAGCCCTGCGTTTTGCCGTTACACGGTAGGAAACAAAGCACGTTTCAATCAATTTTCATACCATCAAGAACCGAATCCAACTCTCTTTCCTTTAAACAAAGGCCTCCAAGTATAGATCAAGCGTACGGATGTCGTGTCCGTTTCGGCGTGGGTTGAACGCAGAGATTGATTGAGGCATGAGGGCACGTTGGTGATGAAGAGGGGGGAAAAGATACGTGAGGTGCGCTAGGTCAGTCTTGAAACATTGCAGAAATAGAAGAATTTGTGCACTGCGTTATTGAAGTCGGCAAAGGGGCAACTTCCCTTGTCGTCTTTGGCGTTCCCCGACGTGCGATCATCTCTGTCTCCGGTTGTCTACAGTATGGCTTGATGAAGTGCAAGATAGGGGTGGGTGAGTGCCTGTCAAGGTATCCACAGACAGACAGCATGCAACATCGGCGAAGCGGAGCGCCTAAACCGTAGGGGTGCTCAAACAACAGAGGCGGGTACACGGGTATGTACCTGCTTTCCGAGGGCGAGAATGTGCTCCTGGGCGTCGATGCCGGCATGCCTGCGAAAGTTCAAGAGGAATAGCTTTGATTCAGGCTTCACCTGAGGAAGGACAACCGAGAGGGCAAGGAACGTGACGCACAGGCAGCAGCAGACACGCGTCGTGATGGGGTAGGATTAGAACTTGCCTCGTTGCGCGAAATCATGCGATGTAGCGACGATCAAACACGATGTGTGATTGCTGTGCCACTCATTTACTACCTTCTACTTGTTTCGCGTGTCACAGCAACTTCTCATACGTGTGACGCGCGATTGAACGTCGTTGCACAAATTCGGTTTTCGCCGTTGTGACCATGCCGTGTAAATTTTGATGCATGGGCGAGGACTGCACACGGGACGTGTACGCAACATCCTGGCAAGGACGCCAGCTATCGGCAATCCCACCGGAACAACAAGAGTCTATCCGGCGAGGTTTCATCGCCCAAAAAAAAATCGTACCCACCTCTCCCTTGGCAAGCTCCCGCTGTACCAAGGCCTCGTACTTGACAAAGTGCTGTGATCCCTGCCTGGGTGCTACGCCTGGTTGGAAACCGACGTCGAACTCTTCTTCTGTCCACCCGCGTTCTGCAAGGATGAAGTTGTGCTCCTCCAAGGCGATGCCGTGCGTTTCGCGGTACCTGGCCGCGGTGGAGGCACCAACCAAGAGACGTCAGAGATGTTGACACAAAGAAGAAAAATCACAGACAGAAAATTATCAAAATGTTTTTGTATCATACGTAAAACAGGAACGAAACAAACTCGTACCAATGTCCAACAGGTGGGACCTCGTGCTGGATAGCCCGGCCGCGCCTCTCGTGATTTTCTCCAAGAGAACGTCCATGCACCGCCGTGGGAACGTTCACACACATTAGTGGGTGAACCACAGCAGTACAGCGGTAGTGTGCGCCGTAGAAACAACACAACGTCCACCAACAGCCTCAATACGTTCGTGCGGTCAACGTCGCCGCGTCGCATCTCCCGATCACCTTTGCAGCTTCCTCTTCTCGGTCTGGTTAATCTTGCCGCCTTCCAGGGTCTCCTCGAGCAGCATCCGGTACTTGGTCTTGTGTCCCCGGGACTGGTTGACTTTGTTCGAAAAGTCCTCGGAGATGGCCTTCTGGAGACCCGCGCCAATTAAAGGCCGGCGCTTGAGAAAGGCGCGCAGGGCGTGCTGGTCCCAGACATACACCACCACCTGGCGTCCGCGCCCGTGCGAGGGAGCAGCAGAGGGTGAGGCAAAGGAACGGGATGAGATGGATCCTACGAAAGATATTGTACGACGTGCTTGCACCGGGAATACAAGTTAGTCTCGCGTGTGGGGGGGGGGGGGGGGG